TCAGGTGTCAGCCAGGTTACCTGAGCTTCTTAACCCTTTACAGGGAAAAGGATTTTGGAGTCTCTGGCCAGGAGGGATTTTATAGTACTGTACACAGGAGGGCTGTTACCCTTCCCTTTATAGTTATGATACACACCGGCATCTGTTTACAATGAATAGAGTTCCTGCAGATTATAGCTTTAACTAAAAGTATTACATAGCAAAAAAGAGGTCACTGTTGGCCAACTATATGTACTTACAAAGGGTGAAATTCACTCCTCAGCATAATTGAGTTTTGTATGGAAGACTACATGGAAGGAAGAGTACATGCTAACATTATCCCACAGTGATAAAGCTGCAATACTACAATGGCTATTCCCTCCCATAGGCCTGTAAATCCTGAGCCTTTGTTCTTTTGTCATCCCACTCCTAATAACCTCATCTGGGGCATCTGTTTTACTCAGAGATGGCACCAGGACCTCTTAGGCCTTGTCTAGACTAAGATAAAAGGTATGATGGTAGAATGTGTTAACTAATACATACTAGTAACTAGTTTTAAAAATCTAATGCAGTTAAGGCATTCTGCTTTTAATATGTGCTAAACAGGTCAAGCTAAAGCCTACTGGGGAGCCTAGATTTTAAACGAGCAGTTATATCATGTTGAAGTATACAGTGCCTTGTCTACACTAGACTTTTAAAACATGTTAGAGCATGTAATGCCATTATCAATTCACCTTGTTCTAAGGTGATTTTTTTGCTTTATTCACTTTGAATTAAATTCCACTGGTAATATTGAATTTTCTTTCAGACAGTTTACATATATTGAGTTAATCTTTTTGAACTTTGTCACCAATTTTAAAAAGAATTAATAAGACTCTGAATTATCCCATAATCAATATTCAGTCAAAACAAGGAAGGGATTTATCCACTAACTTTTTATTGCCATAAGGCAACAGTCTTCTAGTGATCAGGAAAGTTAGCTACACGCCTTTATTGAAAGCCAAAAGGGGAGACTCTTCACCCCTTCTTGTCAACTGTTGAGAATAGGCCACTTCCACCTTAATTGAATTAGACTCATTAGCACTCACCCACCCACCCACTTGGTAAGGCAACTCCCAGCTTTTCATGTGCTGTAATATTTATACTGCTTACTGTATTTTTCACTCCATGAATCTGATGAAGTGGATTTTAGCCCACGAAAGCTTATGCCCAAATAAATGTATTTGTCTCTAAGGTGCCACAATGACTCCTCATTGTTCTTACCCAAAGATAATTTCTTCTCTGTTGCGTTGAGATAAAAGTCTGGTCTCCTTCTACATCTCTTGGACAGTATTCCTTTACTTTTTTTTTTAAATATTGGCTAAGATCATGCCATTAATATATATTATAGTCTATAACAACCTCACCAAAAACTATGTTCATGGTACAGGCCAAATAAATATTTTCTTTGTGGTAGATTCTTCCACAGTGCAGGAGCCACAACAAAAATCATTTAGAGTTTTATTATCTTCAGACACTTAGCAGATAGTTACAGTAATCTGCATATAAAAATGGGGGAAGTAATTTAACTGCCTAAGGACTTACCCATCATTGGTATTGTGAACAGAATGGATATAGGCCCTAATTTTGCAGCTGAATCTGCTCCTGTGAGGAACCCCATTGTATTCTATCCATGTGGATATAGTGGGAGCATCAGGGACATAGTTTGAAGCTTGTAAAGTAACTATGATGATTGTAAAAGAACTATACAATATAATGAACACTATTTTTATGAAAAGTAATATTTAAGATAGCTTTATAAATAATAACAATTTGCTATTTACAGTGAAAACTGTCACACTACAGTAACTTTTTTCTTTTTTTTTAATATTGTAGTCCAGGGGTCGGCAACCTTTTCTGTATGTGACAAATAGTTTCAGAAAGACGACAGGTAGGTTGAGAGATTAGATGAAACTCATCTGGGGGATGAATTTCAGGTAGGGTCTTAGGACCACCTTATCTCTATGAAATGATGTATAGGGAGTTCATCCGTAAGTGGCTAAGCTCACTCACTCTTCTGGCCAAAGCGATAGCCACAAGGAAGACAGTGTTAAGAATGAGGTGTTGCAAGGAGCATTTTGAGGGAGGTTTTAACAGGAGGCTCCATGAGCCTTAAGAGGTCCCAGGTTCTCTGACCAGTGAGTAAGTATGTAATAGTCCTTTGAGGAACTTTGGTACAGCGGGGAGAGAAACAACCAGGCATAACTGCCAGTGGATGACAAGCTGGAATTTCTGCAAGGTAGACCTAACATAAATGAGTGAAAGACCAGACTGTTTCAAGAGCAAGATAGGCAAAGATCTTCAATACAGAGGGCTGGATAGGATCTGAGCCATGTTGGGCAGCTTATATCAAAGGCATCTTCCATTTAGCTGAATGTATCTTTTTGGTCAATGTTTCCTGCTCTGTATCAGGATTTTCTGAACCTGAAAGGCGCAGTTCTCATCCCTGGTACTTAACCAACCACTAGCCATGCTGTCAGCTGCAGTGACTTTGGGTCTGGAGAGAGTATCCCGCCATGGTGTTAGGAGAGCAGGTCCAGGCAGTGTGGGAGCTGGATCAGCAGCAGGTCAGTCAGCCAAAACTACTTCAGCCAGTATGGTGTTATGAGAATCATCGTGGCGTTGTCTCTTCTGATTTTGGAAAACACCCTTGGGATAAGGGGAAAAATCAGTGAAAAGTCATATAGGAGGTTTTGGGACCACTGCAGAAGGAAGCATCCATTAGCGAACTTGAGCTCACACCCCTTCTGACACTTGGTGGTGAACAAGTATATCACAGGGGTATCCCAATGAAGGAATATGTATAATGGACCTCAGGATGTTGAGGTGGAATTTCATGTCTTCTGGTGACTCAGTCCCTTGCATCTGTAAGTGGTCCAAGTAGGCTCCCCAACCTGTCTGACATATCTGTGATCAACATCCTTGTCAGAAAGGGGACAGAAAATAGTACTCCTCCATGCACCTTTGTCGGTTCATTCCACCATCTCAGCATCATTTCGGTTCTGCAATGATGTGAGTTGGAATCAGGACCTTCTTGCTCATTTGATGTTTTGCCAGTGAATAGACAGATCTGAGCCAGAACTGGAATGGTTTCAGGTGAAGTCAGGTAAATGGTACCACAGACATGCACTCCAACATGGCCTAGCAGTCCAAGACACATCCATAAAATCGTTGTCAGGTTTGATTCTATCCTGAGCACTAGCAATTGCATCAACAGGGACCTGTCTTCAGAAGGATACATTCTCATTGTCCTGGAGTTGATCAGGTCTATGAATTCTATTGATCTGCAGTGGGATAAGACCTTTTTTACACAAGAGCATAAGAACAGCCATACTGAGTCAGACCAAAGGTCCATCTAGCTCAGTACCCTGTC